ATTTTGTTTCTTGATAAATGAGTGGAGTGAGGAATTTAAGTTGAGAAGTAAAGATAAGATAGAAGCATCATTCTCAAAATTTTTTAAAGAAATAATGAGGATAAAGGAGAACCATAAACAATAATTTCCAGTTCTCCTTATGGCAGAGACAATAAAGAAAATGATCATGACTTGCTGAGGAGTCAAACAACAGTATACAGTCATCATGAGGCAAAACACCCAACAAGTAAATGAGGCAGAGTGTGACAGCAGGGGCTGAAAATGGTGAATCAATGCAGATAGAGGATGAGCCCTGGCACAAGCTCTCAGTCTTTGGGGCAGTCCTCCACACTCATTCCTCACCATCTCACAGCAAAGTGGGGCATCCCACCCTCCCACATGGCTTCAAGTGCCACCCTGTCCTCCAACAAAGACATTCAGATTCAATTAAAGGCAAACAAGCAAAAGAATACAAAGGAGACAGCCAACTTTTGATCCCTGATATAGAGATTTCCGGTGATCCTTTGTGCAAATAGCATAAAAGGCAGCTGAGAACAGTGAGATCAGCACAACCTAGACAAAAGGGGTGCAGTCATAATAATTTTGCAGTTTAAGAATAAAAATGTGCTCAGCACAGGACACAGCAAAAAGAGAGGGCTCAATACATGGTAGCCAATACAGTATGTCTTTCAAAAAATAGATGTTTCAGTAAAGAATTAGGTATTCTACTGCTTTTTCTACATAGAAAAGTTCCAGTGAGTGACGCCCACTTACCATAAGAAAGAACAAGAGGGAATATAGAGCAACTGTGTGTCTGCATGTGTGTGATATCATATGATCAGTTTTAACCAATGATTGACAGCGTGGCTTGGGGTGTGTGTGTAATGAAGTTGCACACAGTATTTTTCAGGTATATTACTGGAGTCAATGGAAAGTGACACTACAAACAGTTAAAAAAGAATCCTTATTGGACATAAATAAAGAAGTGATAAATTTATTTAATCTCCTCCTTCTTCCTTTCTAAAGGAAAAATAGAAGACTCATAGCTATATAGTTTGAGGTGAGAAATTTCTAAAGATTTGAAACATATATATTGCACTTCATTGCACAGATCTAGAACCTTCTTTAAATCCAAATAAAATCATTTGTTTGGGTTTGATGCTTGTATGTAACCCGAAAAATACCTAAAATTGAGAACAAGTATCACACACAGAGATCAAGTGATTCATTTGTTGAAGTCAAATATTAGAATTAGTGGACTTTGTGTTTTCAGTTGACTTACAAATTATATACGTATATGTGTGTTTTTTCACACATTTATATGTGTTATAATATGTGTGTTGGATGAGTTTGTTCACACATTTGCAGCTTTCTATTTCCCGCATTACCTTAGACAAGTATGCATAAACCATTTGAACACTTACTTCATTTAATTCAAATTCTTGTGTGGCAAAGTAATTTGGTGCGATAGCTTTTTTTTTTGGTCAGTTTTCTGTTTTGTATTGCCTTACTGTTACTATCAGACAGCTGTTGAAATTTCAGGCCAATGGTTGCTATCTCTCCTCCATCTTCAAGAAATTAACATCTAGTTGTATAAACATTTGTTAATAACAATGTGTTCTTGCGAGTACAGACTTTCATAACAAAAAAAGATGAACCAAATTGTTTCTCCCTATGAGCTCTCTTTCGCAATTCTTGCTTTCTCTGTCAATTATTCCTTCTGCCTGTAGTCTACCTAGGTTGTGAGTAGGAGGGGAAGAGGGAAAGAAATAGAGAACCTCAACACTTGGTTGCTATGATGGGGTCTAAGACTATTTCATTTTGTATATAGTTTACATTGCCCTCTTGGTTACCGTAGAGAGACCGTTAAATGCCATTCACAAGGTTGGGCTATATTAGTGCAGAGCCTGAGAGTAGCTGAAACACTAAGGGGGCATTACACTGACCGCACGGGAAAGGAATTCACTGGGACATCCATATGTTCCAAGAGGGAACAAGCAATGAGGCACTGAGCCTGAAGAGCTGTAACTTGAGCCCACGTCTCCTATCCACTGTATCACACTATTCTTTTAAAATACAGTTCAGGCTTCTGGGTAAAACAGTCTACACAGCATATATGATGGCTAAACACCTCCCTCTGGCCCAGCAGAAATAACAAGAAAAACTGTAAGTCATAAGTAAGCTTCTGAATGACATGTCATTAGCATAAGCATATCTAACACAAAATACATTTTTTAATGTATATAAACATTGCTTCCTCTGCAGTTTTTGCCGAGAGTTAAAATCCAGATGTAACATCTTATGGAGACAAAAACACTTACAGCTACTGTATGATAATTCCTCACACTACCCATTAAGAAACTCTGCCCTAAAATATGAATGTTTCTCTGAAATTCTCTACAAATCACCATTAATAAGATAATAGAGCAGAAAAATTAGCAGGGAGTTCATTTGATTTTTTCCCCCCTAAAGGCTGGCTTTAGTTAGAAAATTTATCTACATTTCTATTCTAACACATTGTGAATGATAAATGAACTGCACGGCATAAAGGACATGACATTGCTATGCTATTTTCTTTCATCAGAATATTCTACCTAGCAAAGTTCATAGCTCAGTGCTTGTCCCCTTATAAGGAATAGAGAAAGAAATGAAACTCACTACTCTGAAGACCTCAAGCTTAGGGCATGACTCAAAATAGCAAAAAGAAATAGTCTGAGAGGCACAAGGCCAGCCAGCAAGCTGATTCACTGTTTTGGTCTCTATCAGGTCTGTCTGTTCCAGCTCTTTCTACATAGGAAAACCAATAAGAAAGCTATTTTACATTGCTTTCATCAACAGATTCAATGGCTTCAGGACCAGAGACAGTGAAAAGGTGTTTTTGCAGAAACTGAAAGCTGAATGCGAGAGGAAAACACACGACCCTTCATTGCTTTCCCCCAGATCTGTCTGCACTCTCTTCTGTATTATTTGAAGAACAGGCTTCTTATTCAGACAACCTCCTATATGATCCCCATAGCAATGGCTATAACCCTGATGGGTGATAAATATTGAATTGAATTGGTATTGCTAAGGCGAGTGCTTCAGTCAGAGAAAAAACAACAACAACAACAACAACAAAAAACAACAAAAACTTGCATTCTTTTATAGCTATTATAAGAAAAATCAATTTATTGCCACTGGTTACTTTTTGAACTTGAGGAACATGGTGGCTAACTCCCTCATTTTAGGTTAGAGATAAACACGTCAGCTAAGAACAGGGCAAAGTGAGAAACAAGACACTTACAGAAAAGAGAATATGAGAAAAGTTGACCCTCGGAGTTCAAGTGGTATAAAGTGGGAACCATTCTAGGAGAAATGTTTACAATTCAATTTTTGGCCATTACGAGCTATGGTATTTTCTGAGTAGGCTATTTATTAAATGAAAACCTTATGCATCACTAGCATTAGGTGTAAATCCTATTATGGATAACAGGGCAACTACTAGAACTCATTTGCTAATATTAGAAAATGATAGCAAGAAATCTGTACTCATGTTTTCTAGAACATAAAAAACTGAAACAGCAAAATATTTATTTTTAAAAAGTCAACAAAGGTCACTCTAATTTCCGATGTTGGTAATAAACATGTCAGAGAAAAAAACAATATAAGGCACATTATAAGAGTAAAATTTTGCAACTCTCTGTTTTGATTATTGAAACACTTAGCCAATAAAGAACTTCCCACAAGATGACATAACAATGAGAATGTTACTGATACGTAAATGAAAAGTCCTACAGTAAAATACATTAGAATATTAGAATGTTCCATAAAGGTCATCTATGCTGTGATATAACCCAACTGCTTTCCATTTTGGACTCTTAATATTTTGTTTGTATGGGTTTTTGTAATTCCTACCTAGCAACATGCATTTATTGCTCTTCTGGGTGGGGGAGAAGGGCACTTGACAGGGGCAATTAACTTATATTACATTGTTAAATCCTAACTTTAGATTCTGAAATTAAAGAACCTATTAGCAAAATCAATCAATATAATACAAATATGGTATATAATTAGTCTGGTCTTCCTCACTTTGCCACAGAGGTCAAAATGAAAAGTAAATGGGTTCTAGATGTTAAATAATTTATTGTAATTTAAAAACTATATCTAATAAACGGTATATCTCTTCATATATAACACATGCAAAATTAAAGAACTATAAATTAGAACATGAAATATCATTCTTCAGGGTTCTACATTGTGTTTTTTTCAATGACAGTCACAGTACAGAGATCACGCCAGTGCTAAGATATTAACAATGTCCACGCAATGGGAAAATCATTACGGATGACTTTCAGTAATTTTCCCCAGCACGAATCATTATCAGCTGGCACTGCTGATTCTGTCAGGAAATCAAACCACTATTCTGTTTAGAAGTTAAAGTAAATAACACCTTTCACACTTAGATGCTCAAGGCTTTATTTAAAAACAGTTTAAGGATGCTGGTTAATATACAGTATAGAGTTGGCTGTAAAAATGTTTATTGCTTATCTCTCCTACTGAGTTTTTAATGAAATAACTCATTTCTAATTAATCACAAATAATCAGGCGAAAAACAAAACACAAGCAGTCAGTATTAGTATTAGGGAAAAATTAGATCTTTTTAAAAAAGTAACAGATACTTTATGTCCCATAAGTACAATATAATGTCTCAGTTATGAATCAATGATCTTAGACCTATCTTGGTATTTAATTAACCAAGGGGTACATTCATGAAGAAGTATTCTACTGAGTTGAGATACTTAATTTAGCTTCTAAAAGTGTTCAGGTTTACAATGAAGGAGTAGCTTAGATATCAAAATTGGTTAGTGTGATTTCAAGTCACAAAATTGCGCCTAAAAAAAAATATTAATCTGCATGCTTCCTAGTCCATCATGTAGATGTGAACGTATGTGGAGAAGGTATTAGAGTTGAGATAAGGCACAATAATATTCATTTATAATCAAGCCCTACAATAGTATAGCAAAATAAACATTAGCAAAGGCAATTTTACAAAAGCTTTTTATTGATTGAGATGAAAGACATTTTCTGAAACGCTACAATTACCATTTCAGGGCTTCAGAAAGACTGAGGTAATGGCATTTAACAAGATACTTAGTGGACAAGAGATCACAAAATAAAACTCACACAAAACGAGACATGGATAAGTTCATACATAATGGCTTTTATATTATCTTGGATATAATTCTTTATTTTGTATCACTATTGCATATTTATTACAGTATTTCTAAACACAATTTTAAAAAAAAAAACAACAAAGAAACAATCTTGGTACCTCATAATTTAGACCAAAAGATATCAGAACAAATACAGCCACCAAATATCCATCTTAAATACTGTGTACATTTAACAGAAATAATCATACATGACAAATGATTCAAATTAGAATTTAAAAGGATCAAATAATTAGCCAGGAAAGCAAAATGTTTTTAACATATTATATATAACACTTCCATTTGAGAATCCTAGCTGCTAAGATGACTTGGAAATATGGTCTAGGATTCCTAATATTTTAAACATATTCTCCCATCTACTTAAAGAAAAGTTTGCTGTATTTGCATAAACCAATATTGAACTTTGGATACCTGACGGTTTGGCTAGACAACTGTATTCTGAAAAGCTACATGTTATAAGCTGTGTGACAGTGATAACAAGAAAGCAAAACACCAATCTGCATCTCGTGGAGCTGAAATCAGGCCTCTTCAATTCGGCAGATCCACGTTCTGAAGGATGAGCGCCACTCTGCTTGGAATGTACACCTACGTCAAAACAATTATGTCAGTGCAATTGAAGGGAGTACCAAACGGCCTGTCATATGTCAAAGAGATATAGGCAGGATGCAGTCTCACATCTGCCTACAGTTACAGTTGCCTTTACAATTTTACATGCTCTTAGAAGGCTCAATTTCGCAGTTGTTCCTACTGTTCTGGCAGCAACATGGCTATCAGAAAGCAATCACCACTAGAGGGCTCCATACGACTTAATGAAAACCAATGCTCCTCACAGGAATGATGTAACCGGCCCTGTCACTGCCATGTTGAGGCTCTATCAGGTGGTGAAGGAAGGCTGCCAGTTCGCAATGTTACTACTTCAGTCAGACGAAGAAAAGCAATATACAAAGCACTTGTTTTGCATCAAGACACTTTTATTTGTAATCTTGTCTCTTTTTTTCCCTTTCAAGAACAAAAACTGAAATGTAATATAAGGAATCCTAACTCTCAATTTAAACCAATGACTAAGCTTGCCATTGCACTTAAACCAGGATTCAGATTCTCTCCATGGTGTGCACAGCCCTGACTCGCTCCTCTCTGCCTACATCTGGTATCCCAGCTGAGCTACTTGCTTGCATCTTCACCCACTACACTCCAGCCGCAGGAGCCTTTCAGTTCCTTGGACACATCAAACACTCCCCTTTTGTTGACTCTTTGCCTATGATGTGCCTTCTGCTGTAAACACTCGTTGCCTTGCTGGTTCCTTATCTCTTGGAAAAATCCCAGCTGTATGGAGAGGCTTTCCTTGACAACCCTAGATATGGTAAGTTCTTCTTTTCTAACCATGGCAGCTTTTTTGTTTCTTTCTGAACACTTGCCACAATTTGTGAATGATTTTTCAAGTTTACCATCTGTTTCCCTCATTAGACTATGAGCTTTAGAAAGGCGGAAGTCATACGTTTTACTTCTAACTCTCAGTTGGTGCCATTGGACAAGGCAGATGTTGATGATGACTGAATTAAAAAAATGAACAATGAACAAAGGAATAATAGTGGATCAATAGATGCATATTTAACAAGATATTCTCTAATAGATCTGAAATCTTTACATAAAATTGAGAAGTGATTTGAACTGCTTAATGCTATTTATATGCTAGTTCAAACCATGTATCTAAGTATTAACAAAGCAAACAGTAAAAATAATACTATAGATGGTTGTCATTGTGACAATCTCTCTTCATTTCTGACTTTGCTGATATTTTACTATTTTCAGTCACTTTATCTCTAAATGAAAGCTTGCCTGATGGTTAAAAAAAAAAAAAGGCTTTCAGAGGTTAGAACCAGAATGAAGGCGCAAAGCAAACATGACTTTAGGAAAAAAAAAATTAAAGAAACAGAACAGTTGATTTTCATTTAATGAGACTTGTATGTCCAATACATTTCAACTCTGCAAATGAACACAATGTTTTCTCTTAAGGTTTCACAATAAAGAACCAATACTACTCAAAAAAATCAGACATATTGATACACTTGGTTAGTTTTTAACATCAAAAGTTAAAGCAGGTTTAAAATGGTGGCACTTAAAGAAATTTATATTCTGGATTTAATGGCTAGAGAACAGTTTTTCTAATCTTCAATTCAAAGTAATAGTGTTTTAGGAAATGAAGATCATCTGAAAAGATTAACAAATGCTAACAGTCACTGTAGCTCAATGTCTCATAGTCTGCTTTGCAATACAGTATTTCCAAAAAGATAAATATTACATCCATGCAGTCACTAAGCGTGAGAAAACCATATATTTCAGTGCTACAAGCTGTTTCCCTATAGTTTACACATTGTATTTTATATCTTATAACTATCATACCACATCAGAATTTCACTGCTAATGCAATCCTTTCTATGCAACATTTTCTCTTTGTCATACGCAAGATGTTATGAGAGTGAGTCAATAAAAGGAAGCTGGAGTTATCCACAAATAAAGCAGGACTATTACCAAAGATCCCGACAGACCCAGTCCAAAGGAGAGCACATTTCCATAATCAAGCTACAGACAAAATGAATACAACCCAAAGCAAAGAAGGAGAAATAAAAACAAACAAACAAACAGTGTGATTCAACCCATTCCCTCCCTACATCTTATCAAAACAGGTACAAATTGAGAAAGTGACCTACCCTTCTAAAGGAGTTTCCCATGTACTTATTAGGGGATCTAGTCTAGTCTACATATTTCTTTCTTTTTTTCTTTTTTTTTTTTTTTGAGATGGAGTCTTGCTCTGTCACCAGGCTGGAATGCAGTGGTGTGATCTCAGTTCACTCCAATCTCTGCCTCCTGGGTTCAAGCCATTCTCCTGCCTCAGCCTCCTGAGTAGCTGGTATTATAGGCACGCAACACCATACTCAGCTAATTTTTGTATTTTTAGTAGAGATGGGGTTTCTCCATGTTGGTCAGGATGGTCTCAACTCTTGACCTCATGATCTGCCCACCTTGGCCTCCCAAATTGCTGAGATTACAGGCGTGAGCCACCGCGGCTGGCCATAGTCTACATATTTCATTTTGGGGATCACAGTAACTGGATTTAACTAATCAGTGGGACAGCAGGTTACAATTGGAATGGTTCTGAATTGTTCTGCCATGAGCAATCTAAAACTGAAAACCAATCTAAATATCTCAGCAGAGCCAGAAACTAGACAAAGTAATTTCAGCTCCCTCTACATGGAAAACATTTCTCTTATAGAGTATTGTCCTACAATGCAGGCAAAAGACTCTGATAAGTCCAAGGTGCCTGGGAAAGTTGCAATGAAACACATTAGTCAGGTCTAGGATAAATAATGAGAGGTCTCTGTAAGTGCGTGTTATAGTGATATAGCTCAGATTTGGATCCTAAGCAATTGTGATATCTATTGTTTCATTCATAACCTCATTATTTCATTAATGAAATATAATAATAATTACATAATGATAATTTAGAATCACTCTTACTCTTTCATGTTTTGGCATTTTCGCTTGTCTAAATTTAAGAGGTTTTTTTTTTTCTTCTTTTTAGACGGAATTTCACTCTTGTTACCCAGGTTGGGGTTCAATGATGCAATCTTAGCTTACCGCAGCCTCCACTTCCCAGGTTCAAGTGATTCTCCTGCCTCAGTCTCCTGAGTAGCTGAGATTACAGGGATACGCCACCACACCTGGCTAATTTTTTTTTGTATTTTTAGTAGAGACGGGATTTCTCCATATTGGTAAGGCTGGTCTCGAGCTCCCGACCTCAGCTGTTCTGCCCGCCTCGGCCTCCCAAAGTGCTGGGATTATAGGCGTGAGCCACCGCACCCAGCCGAGAGGTTTTTTTTTTTCCAAAGGATGCCATAACAAAGTTCCAGGTTTGTAGTATATGCACTGAAATATATCCCCATTGTGGCATTTGATGGTTAAAAAATGCTTCAAGAACATTCACTAACAGATACTGGTCTTTTCATGTAAGGAGGTTTATAACGACACTTCCATCATACTTAGAGACCTCTTAATGCAATATGCTAAAAAAAAAAAACCCTTTGGTTCACAATTGTATAATATCATTAACAGAAATACTTTGTAATAATATACGTATATTTCACTGCAGTGTTAATTACCAGAATGTGTTTATATTGCTCCAGAGCCCTTGTGGTATAGGCAACACGGAAGAATTTCCCTAAGCCAGTGATTTTTCTTAACTATGGCTATTTATGGAATTTTGAGTTTTCTTCTGAGTATGTAAATCAATTTTTTTAGTGGTTAGGAAATTACTACTAATTATACTAAAGAACTTAAGACAATCAGAGCTAACCCTTATGATGAGACAATTACAGACACGAACAATTTGGGGTTCCTAAAATTTGGTCTAAGTATTGGCTCTGTAATTCTCATTTTATCACTTTAATTCATACAATAGTTTTGATTAATATGGCAAGAGAAAAGAAGCATGAACACATTTAAGTAGATTTAAACACAATCATTTAAGTATATTTAAATATAAAAAGTATATTGACATACCTGTATATAGAAGGCACTTACTATGCATAACATGCATGCTGATAAACATATCTTCTATGTCCATTTATTAGCCTGTAAGCCCTAAACATTTTATATCTAGAATCACCTTAAGAACATGAGACAATGTAGTATACAGCCATGAGTTTCATTTTTTTCTAGCTATATTAGTAGTCTGCTCTTCACAAAGAATCAGAATAGCACAGTACAATCCAATTCATTTATTAAGAGAGTCAAATGCATGCTAATCTACTCAGTTATTTTGATGACTTTAATGACTTAATTATTACACTAACCATGAGTGTGGCTAAAAAAACAACTGTTCACACAATGGTCTATTTTATGTCATTCAGGCAAAATGTTATTTTCCTCTAGGACTATATTTTCCTCTAGGACTAATAATTGACTTGCAAAATTTAATTACACAATTTTTGAAAACACAGTGTCAAACATTTTAAAAAAGAAAATTTTAAAATTAAAAAACATTTAATACTTTAAAGGGCAATTTAAAATATTCTCTTAGAAATTTTTAAGTTTAGAAATAGCATATACACATATAATTTTGGAAGAATGAAAACAGCATTCAGTGGGTGGGCATGGTGGCTCACGCCTGTAATCCCAGCACTTTGGGAGGCCGAGGCAGGTGGATCACCTGAGGTCAGGAGTTTGAGACCAGTCTGGTCAACATGATGAAACCTCATCTCTACTAAAAATACAAAAATTAGCTGGGCATGGTGGTGTGCAGCTGTAATCCCAGCTATTTGGGAGGTTGAGGCAGGAAAACTGCTTGAACTTGGGAGGCAGAGGTTGCAGTGAGCCAAGATCGTGCCACTGCACTCCAGCCTGGGCAACAGAGTGAGACTCCATCTCACAAAAAAACAAACAAAACATCATTCAATGAAAAAGTCATTAGATTCCTTCATAGTCTACACACACATTTTTTTCATAATAAAAATTACACAGTCTTTTGAAAAATAAAAGATGATATAAAATGATTTTAGTTTTCACATACATGCTTTAGTTCATAAAATACTTTTTTAAGAAAAAATAAATTGTATTCTTTTATTCTAATTCTCATTATTTTGCATTAGGGTTGGGAGAAAAGTGATGCTAGTGTTTCTGTATAGAAATGTATATTAGCTCATCTAACTTATATACATTAAAAAAGTAAACTAAAAATCAAGATTTTCTTTCTTCTAAAAAACTATTTTCATAATTTTGAATAGAGTAAAATATATTTTCCAACTGTTAAGCTGTACTAAAACTTACAAGTGAGGGGCAATAAAAATGATACATCTATGCCAAATCCTACATTTAAATCAAGTCTACTTTTGAACCTCCAAATTTAGAATGAGAGTAAATACATCTACTTCTTATTGATAAGAAGCCTAATTGTCAAAGTAATTAGTGCTACATCTATTGCTTTATTCTCATTTTCATCATCATCATTCAGTTAATGTAAAGAAATCGAATTCATTTAAGGCTCAATAATCTCTTTTCTCCCATTTGTGCCATGGAATTTGATTTGATGAATCAGAGGAGAGAAAGGAAGTCCCCTGCCTCCAGTGCACTGATTAACATATAGGTTAACATATTAAGTTCCTGTATCAGGAATCAAACTATAGAGAAATGATTATGCTAAAATGGAGTTTCCAATAACTGCCAGTAAAGCAGACTGGCAGAGCTCTGTCCCATCGATTTTGGACATTTGTGACATACTCTGACCTTAGCAAATACGTTTCAATGGCGGTATACATGCAGTTATCCCCGGCTCTCAGTTTCAACTGACGGAGCACACAGAGACAAGGCTAGAGCAGTACCTGCTGATGCTGCAGCATGTATGGCTATTATAAAATTCCTTTGAGCTGTTTGTTGCTATCTTTGAAAACAGATTTGACACTTATTCAGCGATCCTTTGGATTATTAAGCTTGCAAATTAAGCTTTGGCAAATGCTGTGTACTAGTTATGATGGGCAAAAATTTCATGGAAGAAGGAAAAGTTATATTTTGTTCTTCCTTCCTCCTTTTAGTCTGTGAGAATGGGAGGTATGAGTGATCTCACTGGAAGAGGTATAAGACCTACAGCACTCATGATCATGTTCAAGCACCTCCACTGAATCCCAGCACATAGGACTCAGTTTAATAAGGAGTTTCCTTATAATGAGGCATTATTACAGTAGGTACATTTGTTAATGTGATTTTTTTTTTTCCTCCTCTGGCTCTTTGCTGAATAACTTAGGTAAAAAGAAAACCTGTTTGCCTAGATTTTCTGTATTTTACTAGTCTGTGTGGACTCCCTTAATCTGACATTAAAACGAGTGATCTTATCATCTGGAGCCTAAAGGTGTATTTAAACGAGTAATTCCTGAAGCACTGTAGTCATGGAAAACAAGACTCTGCTGCTGGGAGGAGAGAGCTAGCCCGCATCTCACCGGCTGCACTGGATTAGAGTTCTGCTGCAGGCAGCGTTCAGCTCTTTTCTGTTTGCCATGTCCTTGCAGTGCTGTCCTCCTCTACGTATTATTGATACTTATGAGATCTTCTTTATTCCATCTGATAATTTACAACTGCATTTTCCACATTGGTGAGATCAATTCCATTAGTGCTTGAAAAGTAATCTCCTGATGTTGCTGCCACTGGCTGGCTGGCTTGTTTTAATTATGCCAGCATATCTTCACTCTCACAAAATTGAAAGGATGTGAAGATATTTTCTGCCCACCTCAAAAAAGTCTGAGCCGTTGCCTGAGATTATAATTCCCCAAAGTTGGGAGAAGGTATTCTTAATTGTGTGTCCTCAAAACACTTAGTATTTTGACATGTTTAAACTACTAAATAATAATTGCCTATCCATGACAATAACATCTTTAAAATACGTATGCAGTAGCATTTTACAGTTTCCAAAAACCTTGGGCATGTTAAAGAGTTTCTGCTTCCTAAGAATCTCTTGCTATAGGGAAGATAATATGAATAATCCTCATTTTACACGTGGGGGAAACTGCAGTGCAAAAAAAAAAGTTAAATCACTCAATTTCTCAGTGAGTAAATGGCAGACTAGGGTCAGGATCCCAGGTCCTGTGCCATGGCATTTTGTGATATTTTCACTATACCTTCAGGCTCTTTATAACAGAACCCTGTTGGGGTACACAGACATTTAGAAAAGCTGGCTATGTAAGAATTTCGCGGTCTGAGTCTTTCCAAGTCCTTTCATTCTAGTTCCATCAGTGAAAGTTCAGTGTTATTGCAATCAGTTGCTCCTTCCCCATGACTCCCCTTTGTGAGCTGAATCATCTTTCCGAAACCCTAAGGGCATCTAACTCTTTTGATTATTTCAGAACTTTATGGTAATTTTCTTATTCACTTCCTTGATAAAAAACTATTTTTATCAATCTTATTTTACATGTCAAAATTGAATGTTCTCACAGACTACAGTAATAATTCCTTGAAGAATGTGATGGCACCCTTGAGCCCTCTCTCTTAAAAATATATATCTTTCTCCAAATATATCTAAAGCTGGATCGATGTCATCATCAACACACACTCATATGCGCACACACAGATTTAGGGCAACACCTAATTCTCACAGGACTTTCCATTGCACTTTCCTCACAACCCATAATCTAACAACTCACACTTTGTAATCCCTGCTCTTTTCAGTGATTTTACGCTGTGATCTTTGGGATTTCACTTTTATGTATAATATGGCAGCTTACAAAGCTGAGTGCTGGCATCACTCTGAGAGGTGGGAAAGCAGTAGAGAGATGGAAGGCCTAGGGGTACCACAGAGATTCTCATGCCTGACTTCTATCTAAACTTTTGAAAAGTGAGAGAATTTAATGACATAAGAACGTTAACAGCTATGGTAAAGTCATGTATTTGTTAGGTACCTCCTAGAATTAGGAATGGTAGATGTGGTTTTGAACCTACTATATGGCCATAAATTAAACAATGAATTCCTCTGAATCTAGAAACTTACTAAATTCTACATATTTTAAAGAATTTAAACGTAGTAGTTTAAAGCAACATTCTAACATTCTATTTGTGTGAACACCACAATGTAAAAATTAGTTATGTCATATAATACTTCCTTCAGTAATATAAAAAATCCAGAGAATTTTATAACTAGAATGAATTCAGTCTTCAATTTACCACATGAAAGAAAAGAAAGATACATTTTTCATTGACTCCTTTAAGGTGTTTTAAATGAAACTTCATTTGCTAGTCCATAATGTAGAAATCTGCTTAATATAAAATGTTATGGAGAAAACAAGAACAGAAGGAGAGTGAATTGTTGCATAAAGAATAGAAATGTTCATAATTGAAAGAAAAATAAAAAAACTGCCTTCTGCTCATTTCTTGAGAAATAGTTTTGAATCCTATTAATATTTAATTTTTGCCAATTGTCCCCTAAATATCCTTTACTATTAGTTTTTCCAAAACACAATTTAGTCCAGTACCACACATTACGTCTGGTCAAGCATAGTCCCCTCTCCCTAATCCCTTTCCTTCATGCTTTTATTCCATGTTGCTTATTTGAAGAGTTGTTTATTTGAACAAAAACATTACTAGAAGAATAAGAGAGTAAATTAAAATAGCAGGAAATATGTTGAGAAACTTACTTACCAAAAGAGAATAGGGACGCCCATTATGTTCAAAAGCCTCAGAAAAAAAGTCAGTGTTGTGGTCCAGTCTCTGATGCCCTCCATATTCCGCTGCATCTGAATCTAGCACAATTTTGAACGTACGGCTTTTAAGGAATTCACAACAGTTGAGGAGTTGAATGAGACATTGTAAAATATGTGCGGAGAGAGCAATTTAAAAGTGAGTTTTTGAGCAGTGTTAAATCATAATTTGTGCTAAGCACTCATTTCTTCTTTTACAGTTTTATGTTTGAAAGGGGCTTTACAGGCTATCTACTGCACACACCCATGAGATCCCTGCTATACTCCCATCACGACTCATCAAGTGATCACCCAGCCTGGGATGAAACGTACCTAATCTACTTTTCTCTTCAAGCAACCTATTCCACTTGTTATAAATTCTTCTCCATATTGAATAGAAATTTTGCTCTGTGAGATTATATTATTTCTACCAAGACAAGTCATAAATAATAAGTTCAACATGTAGTCGCCTTTTAAATATTTACTAATAGTTATACTATCTCCAAGTGTCTGCTAGATATATTACTAAATACATACAGTCAGTCCTCCATATCTGTGGATTTTGCATCTGTGAATTCAATCAACTTCAGATAAAAAAATATTCAAAAAAGGAAATGCCTCGTTGCATCTGTACTGAACATCTGGTTTTTCACAATAAGTTGTTAGATGGTATTAGCATATTTACAGCAAAATTAATAAAAGCAATCATTATGTTCAAATTTATTAGGCTCAAAGTATCTAGAAATGGTACTTGATACAAAAATCTACAATGATATATGCATTGGTATCTTAGAAATCTTAAGTTTCTTCTAGCCTTAGTAGAAATGCCGATAGTTTAAGTGCTTTTTGTTTTGATTTCCTGGAAAATATATCATTAATCTCAGAAATGTTAGTATATTACCATTACTGCAAAAATTATCACATTAATTATCACATTGAGCAAGGAACAATAAGCCATCATTGTCAACCCTTGAAAATCTTTGTCTAAGTCAGAAGTGAAGATGGACATGCTACGGAAACTCAGAAGTGAAGATGGACACGCTACAGAAACTCGGAAGTGAAGATGGACATGCTACAGAAACTTCTGCTAGTAGTGTTGGCTCCATTTTAGTGAATCCAGGCCAGCCTTCTCTAATTCAAACTGAAATTGATAATCAGAATATTACCGTATTGAGAAAGAACGACTGAGATTCAAATGATGACTACTAGGCACAGGGACATTTAAAGTCACTCAGTATAGCTGAACATGATTTGAGCCTACCAATACATTTAATGCTGAAATATGGATAACGAAAATAAATAATCAAAGACATGGCAAATAATGAAATACTGTGGAATAAAAAAAAACTATTCAAATAGAAGTTTAGCTTTTGTTCTTCATTCCAGTTCATTAAATACTGGGATAAATCTTCCGAAAACTAAAACAGTACAGTTCAGAGAGTAATGTTCTAGAATACTTTAAAAACAACTGAATTAATATATCAATTAATGAATTACTGGTTGACAACATAGGCTTTTGATAGCAGTGGCTAACTAAGGCAAGCATATCATCAAAAGCAATGGTTCCCAACCTGACTGGCAGTCCTGTCATTGTAAGTTCTCACTGAGTGAGTAGTTACGTGATTGTAAGGGGCTGGGAATTTATATACGATTAGGTGTTGTCTAAAGACTAAATTATGTTATTATACACATTTGACGCTGTGTTTCAAAGAATGTACATGTTTTTACTATTAAAATGCAGATTATATTGTTCCCTTCTTTGTGTCCATGTGTACTCAAAGTTTAGCTCACGTTTGTGAGAACATGAGGTATCTGGTTTTCCATTCCTGCGTTAATTCAACAGACACCAGGGCCTACTTGAGGGCAGAAGATGGGCGGAGGGTGAGGATGGAAAAACTACCCATCAGGTACTATACTTATTACCTGGGTGACAAAATAATCTGTGCACCAAGCCCCCACGACACGCAGTTTACCCACTAACAAACCTGCACATGTATCCCCTGAACCTAAAAGTTAAAAAGAAAAAAGGAAGAAAAGACACCATTAGGTCCAAACATTTAATGTGCCTTTCACACAATGAATGATCAATTATGGGAATGTGACAAGACACAAGAGCTTGTGCTGGGGGCAGTAAATTGTGGGAACACAATGAGGAAATATACGGGGGAAACTGATGGAAGACAGGGTTATTTTAGTAGGTTTGTTTGTACAGGTCTATTTCGACTTCCCAGTCTCTGGTGATGAGAATGTCCTCCTATTCCTGGCACACGAAAGACACCTTTTTCACGAGCAATTTTATGATTTGCTTTTTGGTAGAAAGGAGGAGATCAAAGAGCTCTTTCTGCATCTGTTGTTTCTCAAACAGATTCAGCTCAAAATAATCAATAAGCCAAAGTGGCATATTTTGGGGTAGCACGTTCTGAACTCCTTCCTAATCAAATTCAACTTCTCACTAACACTAGAGATGACTATTTCCTCCTATGAACACATTCATTTTAGTCACCTGAATTATAATTTTTAAAATGTTATAGGAAAGTTATTCAAGGTTGCAAAACTAAAAATAATAATTCCTTCATTTACCTAGGGGCATTTTTTTTTTTTTTGAGACAGGGTCTGGCTATCACCCTGGCTGCAGTGTAGTGGTGCGATCTTGGCTCACTGAAACCTCTGCCTCCCAGGCTCAAGCAGTTTGTCCCACCTCAGCCTCTCAAGTAGTTGAGACCACAGGCACATGCCACCAGACTGATTTTTATATTTTTTGTAGCAATGGGGTTTCACCATGTTGCCCATGCTGGTCTCAAACTCTTGAGCTCAAGCGATCTGCCCACCTCAGCCTCTTAAAGTGCTGGGATTAGTGAGCTACTATGCCTGGCATGCCTTTTTTTTTTTTTCTTAATAAAGGAGAATGTCCTCAACAAAATTATTTTTCTGAAACAGAATTAAATAATATTTAATCGTTATTTTCAATGTTACAGTAAAATAAAAATCATGTGTCCATCATTTTACATGCTTTTCCCACAATAAAGTACAGACTGAGCTTCGCACACCAAAAAATGCAATTTTAAAGTCACAAAATTTCATAGTTTTTGTGTATACTTTTCTCGATCAAAGGACAGTAAAAGAACAATTGCTATATAAGGATTCATTTCTCTTTGACACTGAAAGAGATTGTCATATTGAAAATGTTAGAATCTACTTACTTTATATAATTGGTAGCCATACAGGAAAAGCTTATAAAAGCCATAGGGAAAGTTTCAAAACATCGGTTTAGACATGTTTCTCTGGCCTATAATTTAAAGAAAAAATTTTTCTGTGTCCAATCGTGCAATCACCCAGTTCTGTGTCTACATTAGCCAGGGAAAACAATAGCTTCCTTTAGAAAATGTGGCCTTTAAAATCCAGAAATTTCTACCAATTTAAACACTAAATGAGAGGTAATGCGTGTGAAAAAGCTTTATAATCACAAATCGATGCCATATATTATTCAAGTATCAGGAAACTACATGTTTTAAGAATACTGCTTAGAATTAGAACAAGCCTTTTCAAAGAGATTATCTGAGCAACTGATTTGTTTGTTTTTCATGTTCTCTCTCGGGTACTCCCTCACTCTCTCATGTGTATGCACATACACACAGATGCACATACATGTACATACATGATACAGGACACACACAGCACCACAATTCCTACATTGTCCTTTTTCTGTGAAAATTTACCTCTGAAACTATGACTCAAAGCCAATTTATACTTATTTTCAACTATCATCGTTATATAGTTTCCAATACAGAGCATACAAGATAAATTTAGCAGGACACCTTAAAAGGTCATCTGTTATCCATAGCTACCTCCATATTCCTAGCAGAGGACCTTCTCATAATAGGTTCCCAATAAAACTTGGAAACTGATATTCAGAATGACAACACTGACTTACCAAGAAAAGCCAAATTACATATACTGTTTTTTATAATTGAGGAGGGTACAATAAATTATCTTAACTCCCCCATTCATTTACTAAATACATACAATGTACAAGATATTGTGCAAGAAACAAAAATAACTAAGATACGGTCTTCATTTACATGTGGCTTACAGCCTGTAAAGGGAGATTAGGCATACATATGAACCTACACAAGTAGAGCAAAAAGCAATATGCAATGAAAGGGAGAGTCAAGGAAGAAAACTATGATGGACAAGCCGTATATGAAGACTTTTGAAGGCTGGGCTAGGGTCTTAAGACTTATTTTGTTAGTTAAGTGTGATAGTGTTTAAAATTCTTGAGAAAGGGTTTTACAATCAAAAAAATTAACCCGCAGGTTGTAAGCAGTATGAAACAGACAGTGGAAAGACTAAGTCGGGAAAACCAGTCAGGAGTCTAACAACAGTCCAAGGATAGTTATGTATGTCTAATCTCTGACAGTGGGAAAGGAGAGAGGTAGACTGAGTTTTAGAAGTACAAGTGACAGTACTCAAAAGTAAGGAAACTGAGGCTGAATTAGGGAAACGGAAGTGGAAGGGGAGAAGAGTTGGCCCAAAGGCAGACAGCTTGTTACGTGGTAGAGTTGGGAGGTGTGCATAAGTCAAATGCAGCTCTGATTACCTTACTGTCTGCATGTGGCACCCATTTTATGCCAAGAATAAGGTAGTGTTTTCATTTACAGTTTCTTGTTTATTTCTCAGGTTGAAATTTTTTATATTGTTATATTTGAGACTTTGTAATTCATAAAGGAAAGAGGTTTATTTTGGCTCATGGTTCGGCAGACCATACACACAGGAAGCACGATGCTGGCATCTGCTTTTGGTGAGGGCCTTAAGAAGCTTACAATCATGGCAGAAGGAGAAGGTGTCCAGGAATGTCACATGGCAAGAAAGGGTGCAAGGGAGAGCGAGGAGGAGGAGTGAAGCTCCTTTAAACAACCAGCTCTCATGTAAGTGAGAACTCACTTGTTACCAAGGGGAGGGCACCAAGTCATTCACGAAGAATCCTCCCTTGTGTCCCAAACACCTCTACCAGGCCCCACCTCCAACACTGGGAATCACATTTCAACATGAGATCTCCAGGGACAAATATCCAAAACATATC